TTTAATCGAAATTAGTACAAAAAAAATGTGAGCTTATGACTTAATGAGGTAAGATTACGATAAAATGGCGTTATTTGACATCGATTTTAATATTTTATAATTAATATTAATTCTAAAATATTAAAATCGATTATAATTTTTTATAATCATGACCTGATGTTATTAAGATGTAAGTTTCTAATCGATCTTTTTAATGGTGACTAACTCTTACTTATTTATTTGTAGTTTTAGGGAGGACTCCTCATTCGGCGTTTATACATATTCATATTATATATAAAATAATATTGGCGGCTATTTGTATGAAGAGATTGGGTACCTGCTGGTCTGAAAGAGCTGTGAATGAATGGGAGTGTGAAAAGTGGAAGGACAGAATATATGGTCCCTCTCCAGTAGTTTTGGGGTTAAGACGCGTGGAAAAGGTTGAGGTTGCACCCCATGTGCCCTTACGTGGAGTGAAAGCTGTCTTGGTCACTCTCCTTTATAAACATTCTTTTTGTAATTTTTTATACTTTCTATCTGTCTACCAAACAACCAAGTTTATACTTAATATTAGAAGAAAAATGAAAGGAAAAAATAAATAAATATACTTGACTTATCACAAACCCTTACATATAAAAATATTATAAATAATTTTGTCAACATTTGAATATGTTCAATGTTGTTTGAATTAGATATAAAAATAAATAAATATGTATACAAACATAATTAGTATATTTAGAAGTTTTTTCTTGAGAAATGTATAGGTTTTGAATTAGAATTGCGACAGTTTAAAAGTATATTGGAGAGCAAAAATGTTAATTTATTCAAAAAAATATCTTATCTTCAATTTTTCTCTCACTTTCCTCCCACTTTTGGGAGGAAAAATAATGGTGGGTTAGAAGAAAATATTTTCCATCTAATTTTCTTTCCTCTCCTATTTTCTTTTGGAATCAAACAATGTTAAATCTTTCTTTCCACCCCATTCTAATGTCGTAGAATGGTTAGGTCTTTGACTAGGATTGAGTATCAACCTTGGCTTCGTTCTTTTGCTTGGGCCAGTTTTATTATTAATTTTTTTTTTAGTTATAATCGTTCCAATCACCTACATTTCATAGAATTCCATCATCCAAATTTTACCAAGGAGAAAATCTCTTAAACTTAGAATACTACTTGATTACATATAAAATGTGTCACCATGTTATCCGCACAGGCAATCTAGTGGGGTGAGATAATTTCATGCCAATTATAAATTTGGACTCCTAAGTTTGATTCTCATTGAGTGCCTCCTAAGATTAATCAATATTTGTAATTAGCAGATAAGTGCATATGTATCCAGAATTCACCACACTACAGTTGGTCTATTGTAACCTTGCATTGAAAAATTCCTTGTTACCAAAAGAAAATGCCACGCCTTGGTCCATGGAGTAACAAGTATGGATGACTAAGGTGTGGTGAATCTCTGTCCAAAAAGTAATTCAGCAATTTGAAAAAAAAGTTATTTAAATGATCACTTTCGTACAGTATCAAATAGGGATATCCTTCCAATACTCATTACCTGACGCAATAGGATGCCCGTGATTTTGCAGGTGAGAGTTTTTCAGTACCCCTATCCATTTGGCTTTTAGAACAAAATTATTAGTTGTCACTCTGCTAGTTTTCGTATGCTAGTCTGGGTGGCAAACAATGAACTAGCTTCCAGCGGATTGGCAGAGCACAAATAAAGAGGTATTTTCCTCGTGTCCTTTAAGTTGCCATTGTCCAATCCCTTTTAACTCTTGTTCTGCTTGTTCCTTTGAAAAAAGACACAACTTTTCGAGGACAGAGAAAGTGGGCATTCTTTTCTTGTCCATGCTCAAATATTCCTGCAGAAGATTGCCAAGCTTGCCACGACTCCTACTTCACCCCTCCCAATAAGTCTCTGTTGTTCGTTTGGGACCAAATCATCTTTTTTATTTCAAAATAAAAATAATTCAAAAACATAAAAATAGCTGTAAGAATGCATGCAAAAGCTTTAATCATATGAGCTAAAGTTATAATATTCAAAAAGTTATGAATGATGATAAAAAAAAGTTCAGCTTTAAAGATAAATTTACACATTTTAAAGGTAAAAATAAAATTTATTCAGATTATTCATGATCAATTACAATATTTTATGATTGATCACAAACATTATGATAGATAATAAAATATTGAAGTTGATTATAGCATATCAGGATAGATAATAAAGAGTTATAATTTTATTTTTAAAGTATAATTTATTCCTAAATAAAAAGTATTTTTGGTATACTATTATTTATTTTATTTTTGTGAGTATGATAACTAGTGGTGTGTTCTATACAGCTGAATTGTTTGGGGATCACTAGAGTATCCAGTCAAAGCTGCTAGGCTCTTGGGGGTTGGATTAATGATTCAATTCGATGACAGATAATGAATAGACAAGAAATTTATAATAGTTCACCAGCTTGAAATTTTGGTAGTCAAATTTAATGGAGTTTCTTGTTCCTAGGGGTTTCCTATTAATTAAGGGGACAGAGATTACACAGAGTAAATGCACAGACGATTGCTTAACCTTTGTTTATAGTGTACGATTGTCCTGTGTGATCTTTGCCATCCTCCCGTAACCCACGCCCTTGTAACATAATCAATGTGTCTTCCCTTTAGGTTGTTGCAACCCTTGCGTCAGAATATTTGAGCGTTTTGATTATACTTCTTAGGCATTGACGCAGCCTTCTTGAAAGTAATAGTTGTCGCTATCATCGTGTGTACGAGAATTTTCGACTTGCACGCTTGAACTAATGATCCTGAGTTATGGGGTCCAAACTTAAATGTCCGACATAAGCTGATCAAACTTGACCTTAGATAATTTATTGTACCATCAATAGCATTTCCTATAAGATACTTCTAGCATAAAGAGTTTTGATCTTTGTTAGTGACCTAGATTTGATCAGGAGGTGGGCTTGGGTTTCAGAGATTACTCTCTCTGTGTTAGTCTGACGTAATAGCTTAGGTCAGAATCTGAGTTTACACATTTGTTTTTAATTTTTGGGTCCTTTTTTCCACACATTTCTGCCCAGCCAATCACAGTGCTATCTCGAGCCGCGCATATGTGCTAGTGATATAAAGCCATAACCAAGCTATAGAGGGAGAGCTTGGCTGGTAGGCGGTATCCATAGGAAGGGCACAGTACCGTATAATTGGACACGAAAGTAAGTGACATCTCCAAATCCAGAGGCAACCCAACTCTTTGTTTATTCACTTTGAGGCGGTCAGGTTTTGGGATCCCAAACCTTACATTACACACATATTTATTAATTCTCATTTTCTAATTATTTTTTGATACCAATCAAAGTAATTAAGATATGTCGAAAATTTTAATATTTTATTATTTTTATAATCAATAATTATAATAAGTAAAATAAAGTATACAACTGATTAAAAAATTTTGGAACGATACCCGAGCAATAGCCTTGTGCTATCCATTACTACTTCATGCTAATTATTGTTTGTGGTTTTTCTTTCAAAGCAACAATTGGCCCTTCCCCTCTTATCCATTCAAAAACTTCCAATTAAGTACGGGATAAAATCGATAATTAAAGACCCATTTGTTTAAGCCTTTATATTTTTAGTAATTAGGATTTAAAAAAAAAAATAAATTTCAAACATGCGTGAAGAAGAGGCAAAGTGGATTACAAAGGTAGGACCCCTAAGACTATTGCATGCCGTAAACTCAACTGTGATGCCGGGAGTGATATGTCATTTGTAGGCCATTTCGATCAAGTGAGTAATTCAATTAAGGTTAAATTCCCCAACTTAATCAAACTTCTGAAGGTTTAATATGGCTGCTGTATGCATGTCGCAATCCTGGAAAAGCAACATAAACATGATCACATGCTTCTAGATAGAAGTCAACAAAATGGTAGGGGTCCCATTGTGGAGTATATATTCAATGCGATGGTAATATCAAGTCCATAATGCTATGTAATATTATTGTTGTATAGAAAATTTTAAAAAATGAATAAAATAAATCCTATACTTTTACATATGGTTATTATATATTTTATTACATGAATATATAGTACTTGAAGTTTTAGAGATTTTTTTTATTTTTTTATTTTGAGACGTTCACTTGCCCGTTTATTACTTATTAGTTGTAGTCCCATGTCTAAAGCCACTTTATAATACCAAAAATTAAGCATTGGCCGTCAAACATTTATATTTTAAATCAAATTTTATATTTTTCTTTAATGACATAATTTAAAATTAAAGTGAATAGAGAAAAAATAAGAGAAAAATAGGAGAGAGAGTTATGTGTGAATTAATGGGGTTGTCGGACATTAAAAATGTATATGTTGAGTTGTTAGGTATTGGTAACTCTTCAGAGAAGATGTTTTTGAGAGAAGGAAAACAATTGGGGGATGAATTTTGTACTATTGAATTAAAATAGATAAAAATTAGATCAATTTTGACCATGATTTTATTTTTATAAATTGAAAATTCAACTTTATAGTTGTAATATAAGATAGATTATTAGACGGTGACTCCTGTGATAATGTTATTGTGGTATTATCGTCACATTGGATATTTTTCTACATTGTAGATGAATAGAGGGTCACCAGTTGTGGATCGTTCCGACACATTGGGTCACATTGGAAGCTTTAATTATGCACATAAGGTATAGATACATTGTACCATATTAACCTAGTCACGTTTCACCAAATCAGAGAAAAAGGTGCAGCTAGTGTTTTTCAATTCCATTACCCAAATTGACAAATTTCTCCATTCCAATGGTTCATAATTCATGGATGGCATTCTTGACAATTTCCACAAAATCAAGGTTCATTTGGTTTTGCTGTCTTTATAAATGAAGCCTTCCTTGCGGGGCATTCTCCAAAGTCCTAAGACAACAGCCCCTTAGTCTTCGCTCCAACTTGATAGATAAAGTCAGCTCTGTTATCTTCCTCTCAGACATCCACTTCTTCCCCCAACAAAATAACGAGAGAGAGAGAGAGAGAGGCAGAGAGATGACAACCAGCATGCATCATCAAGTTGATGATCAAATGACACTCATTTCTCAGTATTATCCAGACATATGCAGCCTACTGGTTCCAGAACAAGGTCAGTACAGTGAGCAAAAGAAAAGTTACATTACATGCATTTATTTGACTATGCACTCGGACGTGAGAACATAATATGAAGTTTTGACAATGTTTAGGGGAGGCTACTAAACCGAGAAGAAGACGCAAGAAAAGCAAAGGAGAAGCTAGTAGCAGCGGAGTGAGAAAGAGAAAGTTGAGTCATGAACAAGTTGATCTTCTTGAGAAGAGCTTTGGAAATGAACACAAATTGGAGTCTGGGAGAAAAGACAGGATTGCTTCTGAGCTTGGACTTGATCCACGCCAAGTAGCGGTTTGGTTTCAGAACAGAAGAGCGAAATGGAAGAGCAAGAACCTGCAGGAGGCGTACTCCAAGTTAAAGACGGAACATGAGGGCACTGTTATCGAGAAATGCCGGCTTGAAACTGAGGTACAACATCTCTCTCTCTCTCACACACACACGGGGCGCACAAGGAGAGAGAAAAGCTGCAAGTTCATGACATGGTTCTTTTTCTTGATTGCTTGTTCCTTAAGCATCCATTTGGGTAGAATCTAGGGAGACAGTATGAAAAGATGTGATAGCTTTTCTTTCTGTGGGGGAACCAGGTTTTCTTTCCGTTTCCCACGAATTCTAGCCAACCAAACAGTTCTACCAAAAGCGGATGCTATCTGACACAAATACGTATTCGTTCTCACTACTTTGTGGAGTTCCCTTTATTTTCTCCACAAATTATATTGTAGTCCTTAGTTTTTGTAGTGACTATCGTTTATTATTCCCATAGTACGTGGTAAGTAATTATTTTCTCTATGTTCAACCAAAAACCTTCATGAAGATCAAAAAAGTAAAAAATTTCATGGAGAAATTAAGAAAATATATGCAACACCATGAAAAAAACCCAGCGAAAAATCCACAAGAACTAGGACTAGGAGGCTGTCGCGTCTTCAGACAGCAAAAGATGCTTAAGGTGGCTACTACATGCTCAATTCACAAGGGTCCGTACATGGTTGTTTAAGGCGGCTGCAGCTGGGCGACTCCCCACCTGACAATCCGCCCCTTGATGCACCAGATTTGAACACAGTACACCCCATTCCAAAGCTTAGATTATAACTAATGCTGAGGCGACGTTGTATGAGTAAGAGTAATTATATTGAGACCTAAAAAATAAATTTAATTTATTAATTTAATCATATGTTAGTAATACTGTTCAACTGTATTATTGTGATTATAACTGTTGGACATTTTCATCGAGACTTCATCACTAAATACGTCATTAGGCCAATAGATTATGTTAAACTTTTAGGTTCAAATAATATTACTTCATATAATATTATAGTCATCATATGCGAACTCAACAAGAAGTAATTGTGTTCGGGTTTAATCATTGAATTTGAGCGGTAAATATGTGAATCTGTCATTCCTCTCAAACAAATGAATTGACACAAACCAACTAAACAAGAATTGGATTCAAATTAATACGATTCATATGACACGAATTTGACTGTATATACATAATTATAAATGAAAGTATTAAACTTTATCAGGACACGACCTGACTGAAATGGTTTGTACACCTCATTCCCACCCTAAGTTGAAACTCCCTATTGTCATCGTTTAACAACACTGAATTTGATTAGTTATTGAAGCTCAAGGAACAGCTGTCAGAAGCACAGGGGGAGATTCAGAAGTTATTGGAGCGCTGTGATGGGGTTTCAAGCAACAGCCCTAGTTCATCATTCTCAATGGAAGTAATGGAGCCACCTTTTCTTGGGGAGTTCGGGATGGAAGGATTGGAAAATGTGCCCTATGTGACAGAAAACAACTATATTCATGGACTGATGGAGTGGTTGAATCTTTGTGATATGTGATTAAATTAAGCATCCTAGTTTGCAGATATTGGCTCCCTATTGTAAATCTTTTTTTCCCCTTGTTTTCTAATTAAGCTGTTGTAAATTGCTAGGACCATTACATATCCTCGTCTTCCCTTGGTGCATTATTGCTGGTGACTGTCCCTTTTTGGTCGATAATTTAAGCGCAAAAATAGGAAAAATAAGTGCTTATTATGTCTGTAGTAAACCGACAAATTGATAAACGGCTACTCCAAAATTAAAACTAGCCACAGAATTTGCATTTACAAGAATGCTGTATTAAAAAGAGTTTTATCCCTTCAACTAATGGTGGTGGCCTGGTATCTTACAAGATTGAAGGAACTATTTATGTGATACTAGTGACACCCTGTGAGATGCACAAATCGATTTTTCTCCCCACCTACAATCTCATAATGAGTATGGAATATTCAAGTTTCGCGAAGGAGTGAGGTATTAAGGGTTCAACATTGTTAAATGTTGCCCACAAATTTGAGAAAATGAGTGTAGCAAGAGTTCTAGTTAGTTACTTAAGTCCAATTGTTATGAATTGTTTGGATCAAACAATTTTCTTAATTAATTAAATTTAAAATATGCAATATATTATTAAAACTTACAAGGCATTTTTGCAGGTTTTTAATTAAACAATGGTAATGGGAATTAGAACCCATCCAAACCCACCAGCGTTCTTTACGGCATATCAAATAAGATATTTACAAATCAGCTGAATGCAAATGATGCCCAAACACCAAAACACTGGTTGTAATCAATTTTTGAAAGTGGAATATTGTCGAGTACATTATTCATTAATTTCTCTCATTAAATCATCAATCATTGATTTGAAGCGAGACCAGTAATATTCAAGTGAATATTCAACCAATACATTGTGGATGATTTACCACTAAAAACAATTGAATAAAAAAAAATGTACTACCAATCTGTCAACCCCTCCCTTCTGCCCCGGTAAAAAAAAAAAAAAAAACCACTGCCATTCATTTTGAGTCATAACCTAAACACTAGACCAGAGGTTATACTGCCATCTAGTCTTATATATTTTTTCCGAATGTGGGTAATGTAATGTTTATCAAATTGTTTTACTAAATTTCTATCCTAAGATGTGACACAGTTTTTTACCATTAGATAAATGTGTTCCGCAAATATTTAATGATGGAGATTGTGTCACATCATTTGATAAAAAATTTGATAAGGGTAGTATTTTCCAATGAACGCATATTGGTGCAACCATGCCATGGACCACCATTAGATTCAGTTCCCAAAAAACTCCATATACTTTTATCTTTCAGATCTAGGACACCTGGGAGAGCAATCTAGAAACACTTCCAATTTCAAGAAAAAATTATATCGGGACAGTGTTTGGCAGAGCCAATAGACCAACACGTGTTCAAAAATCAGACTTAGATGATCAAAATATGGATCATTAATTGAACCATAAGCAAAGATAGTAAGTGCTTACCATGTGCTGAAGCTGGTGGAAGCTTACAGAAAGAAAGAGAGACACCAGCTTGGAGTTAGTGAAAGAATATGAAGACATGAAATGAGAAAACGTTGAAAGACCACAAACCCACTTGTCTTCGATCGACGCCTTGTGCGATTTCTGATATTTTAATCTCTATAAGGTACAGCTTAGAGCTGTAGGGAAGATTTCTTGCTTCTAAGTATGGGGAGTGGTCTTACTTTGTGTTTTGTGCAAGTGTTATGTGGACACTCACCTTTAATGAAAGTGATACGCTGGGGGCTTGTCTTCCAATAGCAGAGATATGATGAATGGTAGTCGCTTTTATCTTTATGGATTTCCTTTTTTGCATTTGACTATCGTCTTTTTTAATGAACAAACAGGCAACATTTAGGCTGGTTTTATTACTATTATCTACGCACCAAGTACTTATAATTTTTACAGGTTTGAATTTCTTTGATTTGTCATGAGTTTATGTTCGACCCACTATATATAAGTGAATCTCTCATATCAATCTATAGTAATTGATTTATTATTGAGGAAAATTAGGAAAAAGTATATTTGGAAAAATCTTTTATCGACTTTTGTGGTCACACATACTAAATCATGTTATGTGTTGACAAATGATAAAACTAAGGTGTTTATTGAGCATAGAATGCTACAATTAACCCTAAAGTTTGAGTTTCGTAGACTTAAAGTCATAACATATTCTAGATTATTATTGCACGAATTAAGGCGTAATCTAAGGGACTTAGAGGATTGAGAAGCCTCATGATGCGACTGGTAACGGTGAGGGAAACATGGGACTGCTTGTTGCATATCCAACACAAACAAAATTGACTACAAAAAATTAACAAATGTTGACAGTGTGTTGGAATTACTCCAATTAGATATCACTCTAATAGCACTATGTTGGAATCAAGAGAACTAGAAATAAAATAAAATGAAGTAAACGAAAATATGGACACTTAAAGAAAAAAAATTTCATTCAAGTTGATTACAACCACAACTTGGACTTCTCACATACTCAACTATACTTGCTTGTAACATTAGGTCATATACCCTATTTATATAGGTCATACATATAATTCCTAACATTACATTAAGGTACCATAAGTGGCAGACCTAGAAAAATATTATTGGGTGGGTACTTTAACACGTTTAATCCAATCGATAATAGCAAGATGACAAATTTATACTATTTATTTCATCAATTATTCTTAAAAATTCTATGCACATATGTGTACAATAGAAAATAGATTAATTATAGTCTTTTATTAAAAATGTCGTTAATTGTAGTTGAATTTTCAAATTTTGATAGCGTTGTCATTTGATTTCATTATTAATAAATAATAAAATTAATACCAAAATCATAGATATGAGCACTAAAGGATATACCACGTATTTTTTTATTTTAAAATTTTGTCAGCAAGATCACAAATCTTTGCTAGGTTTTAAACTCAATGCTAAAGTGCACATCAATAATAAATGATTTAGTAGATCAATTTTTTTTAAAATGAACCCAATATGTTCAAATTAATTTGAATATATTCAAAGTTTGTGCATTGTTAATCATTTAGATATGAGTATATACTAATTAATATAATAAGAAAATAAAATAATGTTTACAGGGATCTAATTTAATGTAACCGTTGGACTTTATTTATTTATTTTTTTTTAGGGATGGGAAGGGAGAAGGACTTAGACTCTTGATTTCAAAAAGACAAAGACTTCACAAGGCAAGGAATATCATTGAACCAAAGACTCTAAGTTCCAAGGTTACATGAAGTCCACTTCTAATTCAGGTTCCCAAATTATCTCATCAAATTAGATCTCAATAACATTTAAAAAAAAAAAATAGGATGAGCATAATTAGATATACTAAAAAAATATAATAACTAATGGTAAGACAAAAAAATTGAGTGGGCACATTGCTACCCTGGTCCATGAGTGGCTTTGCCACCGACCATTTTCTCTATTTGCTCTTGTAACCACTAAAACATTAAGGGCCAATTTCTCCATTACTTGGATAATTCTTTCACTACTAAAACAATTCACTAACCCACTTCATACGTACTACTTGACCTCAAAAGTGGATAGCTAATAAAGTGGTTCCTAAGCATAGAAATGTATCGTTTTTAACTCAATCGATTATCAAGGTCATCTCCTCAGGAAAAACGAAGGTTAAATTTCATCAGTGATAAGCAGATAAAAAGAAAACTCTTGAATATTTGAGAAAGGGTTTTTGAAAGCAAAAAACTAAATAACAATAATTAAAGAAAATCGGTTAATCGTTACAGTTCATTCCATCGTTAATTATTTAATTCTGACCTAATCCTATAGCTCACTCATGATTGTAATCAAACACATTCAAGTGGAAAGTATTCAACTAAAACCTAATGAAAGTGACAAATGTGTATTAAAAATTGATTGACTTAATTTTGAAAGAATTTCATTCACGTTGATTACAGTGATTCCAAGAATTGTCTGTGCTAATTTTAAATTGTTTACGGATAAAGAAAAAGATATACATATCACCTATGTTTTCAATTTTAATTATTCAGTCAACAAAATAACTTAATCTTTAGAAAAAAAAACCCTAGCTAGTTCAAAATCTCCATTCACGAATGAGAATCCCTCATCTGATTATACCAGAATTATACTACTCAAACATAATGAAGGTAAAATTAAAAGCAATAAAAGAAGACATGATAAATTAAAGCAAATCGACAATTGAATATAAACTTGAATTAAAACTTTGTATTGAAATAAGAATTGAAAACCAATTACAATAAAAGAAATAAAATACTATAAATAGTTCAACATAATTGAAAATAATGAAGACTTGTACTTGCAAACTAAAACTAAATAAAGAACAATGAAGGAGGAGGAGGAGGAATAACAGCCCTCTTGTAAAGAGCCCTAGGAGGAAAAACGTGTCCCCAAAGAGCTCCCATAGGTTGGTATTTATAGAAAAATGGGAGAGAGATATGACTGAATTTTAGAGATCCTCTTTTCTTTTTATGTCTAACTCTTATTTGTAGAAAATCTACAAAAATATCTCTAAAGAGATGACCAATATGGAGAGTCTTATTCTATACAAAATACTATCTATTTTTCCTCCAATAATCTTTAAGAACAAATGACCTAAAGAGTAGATAATAAATGTATGAGCACAGGGTCATTGCTGATTTATAACAGTGATGAACCGATAGAAAGTAGGTCTCGACCTATAGGTAAAAAAATATTTTGTTTCACAAGAACTGGTAGCTCTTCACAACTATTGATAGAACTGCTCTCTGTTTTGGACCTACTGGTAAGAGAATAATAAACTACTGGTAGAAAAGTTTCTCTTTCACTTCTACCGGTTGAAATTAACTGCTACTAGTACACAATTCAATTCTGCTCACTGTTGAACTAATAGAAGACCTATCGGCAGAACTGGTCTTTTTCCCCAATTCCCACAACCTAAAGCAAACCTTATTGTTACTTGCCTGCCATCTCTTTTCCTCTCTCTCTTCCTTTCTCT